ACTATTAAATTAAAAACTCGAACATTTTATTAAATTAAAAATATGTGTTACCATTAAAAAAAACAAAATATGATTGAAATTAATGCATTATCAAGACGGTATGCTTTTACTTAAATAATTTTGATCTTAAAATATACTAATACAGAAATCAAAATAGTCTTATAATGTATTTGAATAATGGTATCTTTTATTTCGATAACATTCTTAACATATTTTTAACATATATTATATTATAGCGAAATTTATAGTTGATTCTTATGATAAAGTTTTGCTTTCACTATCTTAAGTACATTATTTTGATAGCTTAAGCACAGATTACTCATGAGAATTAACTATAGCCCTTTGAATTTTATATTTTTCCAATTAGAATTTAAGTTTACATAAAATATTTATTGTACTTATTGCAAAAAAATATACTCATCAGGTTCTAAATTATACACAATATTATAGTTTTTATAAAACAAAATAGTGATATTTGACTTAAAAGTTTGTTAAAATTTTTAATCAATTTATTCTGAAGGAGTGAAAGTATTTTAAATTTATAATTATAATTTATAAATTCAAAATAAAAACCTAATTTATATTATTATTTATTTATTTTATGTATATGTTTGAATTCGTAGTTAGCTCGCAATGACCTAAATTTTATTTAATTTTTTAGTTTTTATGATAAATATAACATCAATGGCATAGTCCGGTGCTATTGATTGTACTCATGTTGCTATTATTGCACCTTCAGTGGAAGATAAGCTTTACCCGGAACATGTTTATGTCAATAGAAAAGGATATCATTCTATTAATACTCAATTAGTAAGTTAACTGGTGTCGATATCATAATTTGTTTTTTTAAAAGAAATGATTGAAATTGTTTTTATTTTGTAATAGATTTGTGATTCAGACTTACGAATATTGCATGTCTCAGCAATATTTCCTGGTTCAAGCCACGGCTCAAACATATGGAATAACTGTGACGTGAATGATTGTTAAAAAAGATGTTAAAAAATAATTGATGTTAATTGCTTATAAGTAAATAATTACTCAAATAAAATGTATTTTAAATTTTACTTACTCATTTTTTAATGCTTACTTCATTTAAGTGTTTTCCATTTGTACTCATTTTTAACACGCTTATATTAGTTTCACATGTATGTTGTGTGTTTGTTGTTTGTAAATCTCCACCCGCCACGTGTTATTATTCTCATGTATCCCGTCGTCTATGGCTTTGAGACTGTTGTAACGCATTCACCCCACCCCGCTCACCACTCGACGACAACAATATTTACTTGTATAATTTTATTTTTGGTTTTCATACCCGTACACGCGTATGTGTCATCAAATATATGTATATATAAACAAATTTTTACTTTGACTGACCAAAATATTGTAAAAAATTACTTTATTTTGCTCATTAATATTAATACCCCACGCAAAAATCATAAGTACAGACCTGAACGTAACATTGAATTCTATAACTAATAAATGCCGAAAATTTTGGTACGAGAAGCTGTCTACCATGTATAAAGCTAAATGGTTCTCAAATTTTTTAATAGATAGACAGGTAGATCAGTTTGGCGGAAACAAAAAAACGACCTTATTCAGATTTGGCGATAAGATGGTCCGTGGCCGCCGTATATGATATGGCAACGAGTGAACAATAATAATATAACGTTTACCTGGGAATCGGCCGCTTTGACAAGGTCAGACGAAAATATACGATTTTTATCTACCAAAAGACTGTAACTATCAGCCGGAAATTCACTTCTTGTCGATATCAATAAGGTTTTTATAATAAACTGTAACCAACAGTTTTAATCGACAATACTTACGGCGGATTTTATTAGATAAACTGGTCTAACTATATTTTTATCAAAGAAAATTTTCCCAGAGCCCAGGCTAAATCTAATCCCGCTAACACGTAACTCTGAATAACCCAGGTAAAAATTCACTGCTGTCATCAGTGAAATCTGTTCAAATAACTATACAGGGTGATTTTTTTATCATAACCCACTCAATTACTTGCAGAATAATAATAATTTAAACTTTTTTTTTATTACTATCTTTAGTTACACATTATTCTTGAATTTTTAACTATGTAATACTTTTTAAGTTCATCCCTTATGCCTTGAAAGGGGATCAACTTTGTTTTTTTAAATGGTAACACATATTTTTAATTTAATAAAATGTTTGAGTTTTTAATTCAATAATAAATGGCATTTGAATTTTTAATATAACTTTATTAGCTTATTAGATATAAACATTTAAAGTTTCAAAATNATAATGAAAAAAAAAAATGTTTAAATTATTATTATTCTGCAAGTAATTGAGTGGGTTATGATAAAAAAATCACCCTGTATGAACTAACAAATTTGTAAGGGAGACTTCACCGTTTCAAGTTAAAACTAAAATCTAATATATTAGTTCTAATTATAATTAGAAATAAAACTTAATCGGCTCAAAGCCTCTTACCTTAACTTTCCTCATCCGGTTGAGTACGAGTAAATGATGAATATATGTAAATATATATATAAAAGGAATATATATATATATGTATATATTCCGACGCCACGGGTAAAACAATTTATATCGATATATTTCTTTCCGCACGTTACACTATTAGGGTAATTATACAGGCATATATACAGGGTGATTCATTAAGGATAAGACACTCATTTTCTCGGTAACTATTGAAAATTTTTAATTTTTGGTAAGGAAAATATTTTTTGATTCAAAAAACTCTACAATAATATGTAGTAAAAACATAATTTTTTTGATCCCTTCAAGGTTAAAAAACATTAATTTGCATTTTCTTAAATGGGAACCCCTATTTTGAATTTGTTATTATGATTGAACATAAAAATACAAACAACTTTGCTCTTACAATTTTTTTTTTCCGATCAACCGTTCGTCTGTTACAGCTTGTTAAAGTTAAATAATTTTGGACTAAATTTCTATTGTTGTTTTAATGTTTTCAATACAGAAGTCACTATTTTTCTATAGTGTAATATACACTAATTGTTATTGACCAAGATATGTCAAGTAAGATAGCAATAATAATTTACGACACACTAATTTAACCACAATTATCTATAATAATAATAATAGTTTCAAAACGGGTCTTTACTATATTATTAATAGCACAGTCTATCAGTTTGTAACACTAACTGTAATACTGAAGAACGAATTTCTTTAAAAAACCCAACCCTTCGCCTAGTATTGTGACTCTTAATATAATCGAATACTACGATAATGTTATCATAATCATTGCTTACACAAAGTAATCTTTTTGTTGATAGATACGAATTAAAAGTTGTGCATAACCTCATAAACTGTATTGAATTAAATACTAATTCGCCGCTGTATTACAATCACGCGTGAATAAAAATTCTTGTTCATTATTCAATAAGACTTAACATAACTTTAGAAAACTGAATTGAGTATTAAATTAACTCGACATCTTGCGTTGTTTAACGTTTTTGTATATTAAATGTTTAATAATGTTATAAATAAAGTGATTCAATGTAACATATTAATTATTAATTATTTTATTTTTATATCGTTACAATTAATAAATTATATTTGAAAGTTTATTGAGATCATTTAAGGAAAAAAATGTCAAATAATAGGTAAGTTCAATTACGAAACAATGCTTATATAGATCTGCTTTGATCATTTTCTTTTATCAATAGCCACAAGGAAAATTATTTATATTGGAAAATTAACGAAACAAATTACTTAAGAAAATATTTACATTTTTGGATTTTCGGCTGTTGAAAGACAAAATTACTAAGAATTTATACCTAAATGAATGAAAACCAATATTT